GCCCAGGATGTCTGGAGCCCAGCTCTACAATTGGGGAGTGCCTCCAGTGTACAAAGCATGGTCACCAGCTTTCTCTCCTTTGAGCTTTACTATAATCCTGGAAAGTGGATAGAACGAGAATTATGACCTTATTTTGCCATTGAGAAGCCTGAAGCCTCTGGAGCTGCCTGCCTTGATCAAACTCACACAGCCTGGGAGTGATGGAGCCAAGCCTTGAACCTCAGTTCTCCAACTTCAAGTCCAGGACTGTTTCCAAGTACGCCCTTGCTGCTTCTCCACAGCGCATTGCAAAGGGGTATAAAGTAAGTCTCTGATGATCGTGGACCAGGATTTCACCTAATATAATAATTGCATCCTCTCATTTCTCCCTGAAAGAGGAGCACCTACCTCACTGTGTCAAAGATGAATAAATTGAGTCCCAGGAACGGCTCACCAGTCATCTCTCAATCTAGAGCATTAGCAGTGGAATCAGAATCAGAACCGGAATGGCTTTGGGGAGCTGAGCCCTTCCTAAATGCCCAGCACTGAGCTATAGGGCACTCTCGACTCTGTTGGAGTGTCATGGGGCCAGTCTCCTTGGGAGGTCCTGGCCAACCAGGTACCTCATTCACTTAGGCTGGGTTTCAAGGAAGATTAGGTACAGATACCAATGCAGGTAAGAATGAATTTGATGAGAAGGAGAAATGTCCTCACTAGGCTCCAAGAGCAGCAGGTGCATCCTCATGATAAGAGGCCTCTTGAGAAGGGCCATGGAAAAACTTCTAGGCAAGGGAAATTATTAATTTTGTTGGCTGGTGAGATTTAAAATTAAACTCTGAATCCTGCTTGCTCATCTTTTCCATTTTGTGGATCTCATAAACAACATAATTGCATTCACAGAAATCAAAAGCAAAGACCTTCTTTAATTGTCCACAAAGCTGATGACCTCCTCCAAGTCAAACTGTTTTGACCCTCCACTGTTTCTCTCACTGTATTAATACCTCCTTCTGGAAACATCTTCCCCTTTTACCACCCAGTCATCATCCTTGCCTGGTCTTCCTCCTCCTCGAGTGCCCACCCTTTCTCCATCTCCTTCGCTGGCTCCTCCTCATCATTCCAGCCTTGACTCTTCTTTCTTCTTCATCTGGACTCAGTTCCTTTGTAACCTCACTGAATCCTGTGGCTTTAAATGCCACCTATAAGCAGATAACTACCCAGGTTATACTTCTGGCCTCACACTTCTCCTGAGTCCAAACTCACTTCCCTGCCTCTCCTGAGATATCTCATTGGCATCTCAAACTTACCTCCTTCAAAAACATAGCTTTCGACGTTCTACCCCGAGCCTGCCCTTCCCTGAGCCACCCCCATCTCTGGTAATGGCACCACCAATTATTCCATCGAGAGAGGCCAAACCCTAGAAATCCTCCTTGATTCCTCTCCTTCCCTGCACTGCACCTCCCATCCATCAGCCAGTCCCGTCAGCTATCAATTCAACATTCTACATCCAGGCTTTTCTCACCACCTCCACTGTCGCTGTCCCTTCCACTCCGCTGCCCTTTCTCATCCGGGCCACCGCAATGGCTCTCAACTGGTCTTGCTTCCTGCTCTCTAACCCCCTAACCAGCTCATCACTGTAGGTTGTTTAAACACTGAAGTCAGATCACGTGACTCCTCTGCTCAAACCCTCTATCACTTCCTGTCTTCCTTCAGCTTTCGCCATCACCTGTCTGCCAGATCCACGTCAGCTTGCCTCTGATTACCCCATTCTTCAGCCCTACTAGCCTCATTACTATTCCTCAGCATGCAAGCCTGCTCTTGCCTTAGGTCCTGATACTTCTGTCTGGAATGATCTTCCTCAGACCTTCGAAAGGTTGGGTCATCACTTCATGGAGTAAAAACCTCCCCTCCCCTCAGTGGCCTTCCCAGACCGCCTGCTTATGAACAGCCTCTGACACACCCCTCCCCTGACCAAGTATTATTGTTCTCCACAGTAATTACCTCTAAATGAAATTCTATATTTGTTTTCTTATTCCTTTTATGTCTCCTCAACTCTAAAAGAAGTCAGGGACTTCTGCTGTCTTCGCCAGGATTGTATTCCCAGCACCTAGAACAGTGCCTGGTACTTAGTGTGGGCTGAGTAAATGCCTGTTGGATGAATGAATTTGCTCTTTTGTCAAGTTTTAAAATTACTCTTTATTAGGCCAACTTTACAATGTCATGGAAGGATTTTTTTTTTTTTTAAAGATAAAACTCCTCAAAAAATAAAATCTAGAACTACTGGATTATCTAGCAATTCCACTTCTGGGCATTTATCCAAAGAAAATGAAGACACTAACTCAAAAAAAAAAAAAATCTCCCCTCCATGTTCAATGCAGTATTATTTACAATAGCCAAGACATGGGAAATAGCCAAAGTGTCCACTGGTGGATGAATAAGTAAAGAAAATACGCTGTGTATATGTCCATATGCACACATAACGTTGGACATAGAACATTATTCAGCCATGAAAAAGAATGAAATCTTGCCATTTGTGACAACGTGGACAGAACTTGAGGGCATTATGCTAAGGGAAATAAATCAGGCAGAGAAAGACAAATACCGTATGATCTCACTTCTACGTGAAATCTCAAAAGCAAGCAAACAAACAAACAAAAAACAACAACAAAAGCCAAGCTCATTGGGTGGGGATAGGTGAAATGGGTAAAGGGCACCCAAACTTCCAGTTATAAAATACAGTAAGTCCTGGGGATGTAATGAACAGCATGGTGGCTGTAGTTAATAAAACTGGATTGCGTATTTGAAAGTTGCTGAGAGAGTGGATCTTAAAAATTCTCATCAGAAGAAAAAAAAATGTGTAACTATGTGTGGTGAGGAACGTTCGCTAGACTTAGTGTGATGATCAGTGTGTTCACAATGTATACAAATGTTGAATCATGCGGTACACCTGAAACTAATGTAGTGTTATATGTCAGTTACACCTCAACTGAAAACAAAGGTAAAAGCAATTTTGCCTTTAAGTCTATCTGTCTATGTGCAACTGCTTTCAAATTGTGGGCCCCTCCTACCTTTAGCTCCCCTTTTGCAGATTTTATGTATCATCTTCATTGATCTCAAAATCCGGCTGCTATCCAGAGGTCACTCCATATCTCCCTCTATGCCCTTCTCAGGACCCCATCCCTCTTCATCCTCTGCTCTCATCTTGCTGGCCTGGTTGCTGGAGGAGATGCCCTCACAACCATAGAGGAAAGGGCACGCTTCCCCATCCTCATTTAGAACAGAGCAGGGCAAGGGGTTTAAGTTAAAACTCCAGAGGATTCTCTTAGGTCCCATTCATTCTTCTGCCAGGCATTCCTTGAGACACTGGGCTATGTTAGGAGCCGTGGTGGCCATTGAGAATGGAAGTCATGTCCCCATTTTCATGGAACTCATAGGCTAGCAGGAGAGAAGCCCACAGAAAAGGAGTCCCATGATGTGCCATGCAGGCACAGCGAGGGCTCCTGGGGTCCAGAGTGGAGCAAGGCTAACCAACTCCGGGCAAGTGTGGAGACAGGACAGGCTTGGTATGTTTGCACCTGAGCTCAGGGTGCCTGGGAGGGAGCGAGGTGGGATCCTGAGGGACAGTCATATGGGGATTTGTGTGTTGTGCTAAGGGACGGAGACTTTATTCCAAAGTTATTGAAGAGCTAATGAAAAGCAGAAGAATTTTCTGCTTGAAAGTTCTGAATTCATTCACTTGTCCATTTATTCTTTCATTCAACCAGTATATTTTGAACTCCTGTTACGTACTAAGCCCAGTGCTATGCCCTGAGTGTATGGTATTTAGTAAGTAGTCATTGTCCTTGCTGTTACAGAGCCAGCAAGCCATGGCGCATAAAGGAAGCTTGTTTGGTGGCTCCTGCCATAGTTTGGTGGGGGTTTTTTGGGTTTGGGTTTTTTTTTTTTTTTTTTTAAGATTTTATTTATTTATTTGACAGAGAGAGAGGGAGAGAGCACAAGCAGTGGGAGCGGCCGGCAGAGGGAGAAGGGGAAGCAGGCTCCCTGCTGAGCAGGGAGCCCGACACGGGCTCGATCCCAGGACCTTGGGATCATGACCTGAGCCAAAGGCAGCCGCTTAACCGACTGAGCCACCCAGGTGCCCCACTGCCATAGATAATTATAGGAAAAGGAAACTTTATTATAGCTAACAATAGAAGCAAGTCCCCCTAACGATAGGTGTATATTTAAGCAAACTACGGTCCCCAGAATGGAATATTAGGGAACCATTAAAAACGATGTTTGCAAGCATCGGAGAAAAAAAAGATTTATGGTGCCCCTTAATAGTAGAGGGGAAATATTAATGATGTTCACTGGGAAAAGCAGGGTAAAATTTGTACAAGGTGGTGAATATCAATGAGGAAAAACAAACATAAAAAAAGACCATAACATATACAAAAATATGAATTACAGCTGCCCCTCAGCAGAGTGATTTTTCTGCTACTTTATACTTCTCTGTAACAAATATTTTTCTCTATTAAGCACACATTTACTTGTCCCACCATAACTTGTTCCTTTATAAAAGGAAAGAGATGAACAGACAAGAAATGAAAGCCAGAGGGGAGAAAGCAAGGACAGACACCTGTCTACCTGACATGACTTAGGTGTCATGTCCCCAGGAGGGCCGGGAAGGGGCAGCCGTGTTAGGATTAGGACCCGTGGCCGGTCATCCCTTGCTTAGCCATGACAGCTTTTGCTTTGTGTGAGGGTGTGCCACAGAATGCACGCTCCGGGATGTCAAGTTCCATCCCGGGTAACTCTGTGTGACCTCGGACAAGTCACTCTCCCTGGTTATCCACCTCCCTGGAGGAGATTTTCCAAAGACCTCTCCGGGAAACAGCATAAGTAGGAGGAGCCTGGCCACAGGGGAAGCAGGTGTTCTTTTTCAAAATCTAGACAAGCTCCTCCCCGACATTGCCATTTCCCTCTAACCTTCCGTCCGTCCCAATCCCGCTAACAACTCATATTTTCATTTTTATCTCTTTCAGGAAATGATCGAAATGGTCTAGATTTCAACAGACAGGTAAGGTCTTTCAGAAAGCAACCTTTATTCTCTAAATGTTGGGGGGCGGGGGCGGGGGGCGGCCACTTAGACTACGCCAGGTGCGGGAGATATAAAGAAGATTATGTCAAGTTTGAGGGTGTTTATTCATAGGCTCAGTAGCTTTCAGGGGCCTATCAAGGGCCTTTGCGTCCAGCCCCTCCCCAGCCAACAAGCCAACATTGGGGTCCCCACTATGCCCGCAAAAGAGTGCTAACACCTGGAGCACTTGTTTAGGACTAAGTACTTGCCTGGTGTGCTGCAGAATCTAAGACCACAGCTCTCTTCCCATCACGACGTTTAGTCCAAGTTGCCTCTTGGGTGAGTTGGTCTGCGTGGACCAATTGTTTGGAGAGGAATGTATGGAGGTACCAAGGATGGAGCACCTGAGACCCTCAGGGAACTCCCGATTGAAAGGGGAAGATGGGGACAAAACAGGAGGAACAGAACAAGAGAGCCCAGGACAAAGTATATAACCTGGCTCCATGGGACAGTGTAGACACAAGCTTGGTGCCTTTGAAGAAAACCGAGTCATGAGGGGTTCGAGTTAGTCTGGGAGGGCTTCAGGTGGGGGCAGATGGTGTTGGACAGAGTGCGGGATGGACAGATGCGAAGGGAAGGATGGAGCAGAGGGAGAGGACTTTCCCCCTTGAGATCAGGTAGGCGGGAAGCCAGGGGGAGAGGGCTCGGACAGGGCATGATGCCAGAGCAGATGTGGGAGGGTATGTTGGTGGGAGGAAAGCTAAGGTGGTCTGAGTTTTCTCAGCTGAAAAATTAATTGATTCCCTAAATTTGGCCGGGAGTGGGGTGGGGCATGTACACTGTGCCAGGTGTGGGAATACAAAGAAAATTAAGACATGCTCTCTGCCCTGGTGCAGCTTATAGTCTAGCATGGAGAGTTTGAGAGAGAGATAAAAGGAGAGGAAGGAGAGAGAGACTCCTCGGGGAATAATTCTAATACACTCGCATCCCTGCTTTACTAGGGGTGTGTAGAGAGCATGGTGTCAAACAGAAATGGAAAGAGTTCATTCTTCCTGGGAGCTCAGGGCGGGCTTCATGGAGGAGGTAATATTTGAACTAGCTCTAAAGGGTGAGTAGGACTCTGTCAGGCAGAGAAGAGTGTGGTGGAAGGGCAGAAAATCCTGATGTGGGGGTGCATTGGAGAATCACGGGTTCCTTCTTGCTCTGATATTCTGCGTCCAAGTTTAGGTGACAGTCTGAGGTGGGACTGGAGATCAGACTCCTTTATCTATACAGTGATTTGAAGTCACTACTAACATTTTCTAAGGGGCTGGGTACTTTCTGGGTATATCCTTCATGGTCAGAGAGAGCAATAATCTGGAGTCCCAAGCCAAAACCTCTCAGGCATTCTGCATTTTGTTCACTGCGGAAGTTGTCTAACTAGTACACGAGGCCTAAAGTAGAGAGAGGCTTCAGACTTAGGACTTGGCACCAACATGGTCTATTAAACACCGGAACAGCCACCAAGGGAAAGAGACGGTAGAGTCAGCTTCTCACCCAAGGTCTTTGCATATGAGACAGATTCTTCTCTCAGGGATAGTTTTGCCAGATTTGCTTGCAGGGCGGGAGAATGGAGGAGATTCCCCAGGATTGTGATCCTGAAGGAGAGTCCTAAGCAGGTTGGGATGGGGCCGGTGCCCTGTGCTTTTTCCACCCTGAGGAGGCAGGATGGCAGCCTGGGACCCACCTCTCACTGTCCCAGGCCCTTGGAGAAGATGCACGGGGAGGAGCCCATTCCACACCAAGATGTGACCACACCAGCCCAGTCCGGAGGTGGCCTGCTCCACAGGCCTGGTGGGTTGAACTGCCTATGTGATCTTTTGGAAGCTTGAGAAACCCTCGTGCTTAGGACAAGGCTGGGGGCAGCCCCTCTGGCCCTAGGCAGCATCCAGAGAGGTCCCTGGCCCTTTGAACATCTTTTGGGGTGTGATTTCTCCAACAGTCGGGAGAAAGCATGCTGGCTTCTTCCAGGAGTGGGCCTCGCTTGAGTTTGCTTCACTTAGCGGAGCCCCATGGGGTGGGCTGTTCCCTCCTCCCTCCCCTGGAAAGGGTTTTTGGATTTCTCACTACTGACAAGAACAGACATGACAGATCTTTCCTTTCAAGAAGGGGAGAATTTTGGAGAAAGAGGCTCAGCCAGGTCACACTCCTTTACACTCTTAGGCCAGAGCACTCCTCTGCTCACGCGCATACACATCCATACCCCCCCGCCCCTGGATCCTCCCTGCGACCAGTCACTCTATCCCTCAGTGCCATCCGACACGGATACCCACAGGTTCACGTTCATAGCAGCTCGTCTGCAGACCTACAGGTGGGCCCCCAGGATCTCTCGAGCCACTGCATTGACCATCATCCCTCCACACTTCACAAGGAGGGAAGTAAACCAACATTTGCTGCCTGCCAAGCTCTGTGCAAGGGGCTTTGGGCACTTTATCTCATTGAATTCTCACTATAGACCAAGGGTTACTATCCCCATTCGACAGGCAAGGAAGGCGCCTCCCAGGCAGCCCCACCTTTTTTTTGGCAAAGGATTTGGGAGATGAACTAATGTGCCGAAGGTCACATGATTGGCCAACTGGCAGAACCAGGATTCAAACCCACATCTCTTGGACTCCAGAGCCCATCTTTCCCACGATGGCCTGCTGCATCCTCCTCTGCAGGCTCTCCGCTCTCCGCTCCCTGCACACACACCATGCTCAGGGAGCGGCTGGGAGCCAGGGGCTGAGGGTGACTTCACTGTGACTAACTGGGAGGAAATGGGAGGCAGAGGGTGTGGGGAAGGGAAGAAAGGGTGGTTGTGAGGAACCGCCTGGTATGGCACAGGGAACGGGTTGGCAGACACCGGAGAGCAAAGGATGAGCCTCTGCCCTCGGTGAAGCCCCAGTTGGAAAGCCTCAAGCCAGTTGGTGCAATTGGGAGTTGTAGCCAGATACTGGCTAAACAGTCCTACAGTTGCATGAGCAAGGGACACTGGCTCATCTGGAAGTTTCACGCTGAGCCTGTTAGCTTCCTGGTCCCAGGAAAGCAGCCTGAGCCTGTTTGGAGGAGAATTGTGGGAAGACCCAGGGACCCAGAGGCAGTGCTACCCTGCCGTCCCTGGGAAGGATAAGAAAGTGGAGGCGTAACAGGATAAGACCAGATCCCCAGACGGGGAGGCAGACGTCCCGGTGCCAACGCTATTGCGCTACCTCTCACTAGTCATTGTCCTTAGACAAACCTCTCCATCTTCCTGGCCCTCGGTTTCCTCTCGGATAAAATGGAGAAGTTTGCACGGGGTGATCTCTCAGGCTCCCACAATCTGTCTGTTAGGTTCCCTTATTTCTTTCATGCCCTATTCCGACCAGTTGGTTTGACTCCCACTCTCCTTTCACTTTTTTCTTCGAAGAGAAATAGGGAAGAGAGTGTCCATTTCTTCACCCTGAGCTGGAGAGAGTGGGGGAAAATAAGTCCCATGATATCTTTCCAATCTTTATGATTTTGTGTGATCCTGTGAAAAGAATCGCTTGGAATGTAGGGGCAGAGGCAGAAGGACCCAGCTGGCTGGATTTGGGGCCCGTCATTCATTCTTTGAATATTTAGTCATTCCGAAGCGCTGGAGAGGGGGTGTCAGGAGTAAGAAGATAAATTGCAAAACTGTGCAGTGAATTCCGTGAGAGACAGGTAGCGCTGAGCTCCTGGGTACCTGCCTGAGGACATCACCAAAGAGATGGTGTCTGAAGTGGGGGACAGGGGAAGAGTAAGGGATTTGGCTGGCGGAGAAGGGCAGCAAGAGTGTTCCAGGCATAGGAGCCAGTGAGTGTGAGGGCTCCCTTGAGAAAGGGCGTGGCTTCAGGGAAAGTGTGAGAAGATGAACATGGGGGGAGATGAGGCAGGGGAAGCAGGAGCTGGGGGTCAGGCCAGGTTGTGAAGAACCTTGAATGCACACCAAAGAATTTTCTCCTGTGGGCAGTAGGGAGCCATTAGGTGTTTTCTAGCATGACTAGTTTCATTTAATGGAAGGGCATTAGAGGGGGTGTGGGTGAGGAGGGAAGGAAGGACGAAGGAGAGGCCTGACGGAATGCTGTTGTGGTATGAAGAAACGGGCAAAGCTCCGGAGAGGGATTATAGCAAAGAGGTCAAGCACACGAGCCCAGAGGCAGACTGCCTGGGCTGGAATCATGATCGTGCGGCCTTGGGAAAATTCCTCACCTTCTATGTTCCTTACTCTCCTCATCTGGAAATGGGGAAACTAATGGTACCTATCTCACAGCGTTGTTGTGAAGGTCAAATGAGAGGGTCTGTGCCTTTTAGACAAGTGCCTAGAACATAGGAACTGTGTAAGTATTCACTATGTTTATGATCCTGTCAGTATGCACGGAGAGGCTCAGATTTGAGAGAGAGCTCGGAGAGAAGACCAAGAGGATTTTGGCAACAGGTTGGACGAGATGGCAAAGGAATGGGAAGGGTCCAGCATGATTCGTAGGTTTCTGGCTTGGGATGCTAAGCATTGGAGGGACTGCAAGCAGAGCCCAAGAAGCCAGAAGGTAGAACAAGTATGTCCAGATGATGGAAGGAGCTGGAAGGCTATAGGTACCAATACAGTGACAAATTGGGATCTGGAGTCTGGGGGACAGGTCAAGACGCCTATCGGAGTCACCATTGCATCGCGTTAACTGAAATGGTGGGAGGGAGGGAGGCCCCGTAGAGATGGTGTGCAGAATGGGATGGGGACCCTGGGAAGACCTGCAGAAGAATCACATGTGGGAAAGGCTGAGGAGTGGGTGCCTATAGACGGGACGAAGAAGGCGTGGTTAAAGGGACGGGGGTGGGGGTGGGGGGAGGAGAACCACACCCACAAAGGAGAGATTTTCATGGCGCTGGGGAGAGCCACAGTGTCAAGGACTGCAGAGGTATTGTAGAGCCCATAGCCTGAACACGGGTTCTGGCTTGGCAGTGAGACGAGCAGCGATGTCCTCATCGTG